CCCCAAAACCCCAAAACCCCAAAACCCCAAAACCCCAAAACCCCTCTATTCTATCTCTTTGTTGAAAGTTGGATATTAGCACCACAATAGGACCAGCTAATCATATTCTATAGCAAGGATATAAAACCTTTGGCAAGAGATTTAAGGAACGAATCAGACCTGATTTAAACAATTTACTTCATTGCTTCCTTAATCTTGTTGTACTTTGTACCCACAGGATTGCTGTTAAATGTAACATCTCCAGTTTCGGAGCTTACATTCAATGTGAAGAACCCTCTGCTATCTTTACCATGATATCCATATTTTCCTTCCTTAAAGGCATAGATCATTTTAATCTCTTCATCGAATGGGATAGTCTCATCTCTGCCGTCTCTCTGAACGACGACTGGTCTCTGGAGAGCAACAGTCAATAGATCTCCATCGCTAGTAGAATCAAGAAGTTTAAAGACGCTCTCTTCATTATCAACGGGCTTGCCGTGCTCTGAGGAATGAGCATCATGGATGACTGGTACCCCGTTAAAGCTCTCTTCGGTAGCATCGATGACAACAATGTTAGCATCCTTCATAGAGCTTCCAAATCCAAGTCCAACAAAGTAGTTTTGAGGCATGCTTACGTATATGTTAAAGTTCTGCAAGGAGTCATCTAAATGAGCTCTGACTGTAATAATATTTTCTCCGATAACTAGCTCTTCACTTGCAAGAGTATTTCTATATTAAAATTAGTAAGCATGGTCTTCAGGTAAATATATACATCAGGACTCAACCAATTCTAAGGATCTTTGGATATTATAATTTCTCCTAACTAAGATTCCCAAATTTAAATGTGGTGCGCACTTAGTAAAATTAGTATCTTATAAATTTAGAAGCTAGAACTCTACCTGATAAGTCCCGATGTTAGCTTCAAAAGGTTATGGGAATAATTGGATATGATAGTTCACTTAAAGGTTAGCCAACACTTTTATATTTCAAAGGACTAGATGTTACAGAGATGCTAGGAGTATTATAAATTATAGTATAGGTTAGGTCTTTCTCACGAATTTCAAAGGTTGGATCTTAAACCTCAATAATTCGTACAAATCTATGAAAGAAAGGCCTTATCCAATTCGGTTGTACATGTAACTTACCCGATGAATGCCACAACTAGGGCAAAAAGGATGATATACTTCATCTTGTACTTAATATTATTGGTTAATATTCTTTCAAATCCTTCTATAAATACAGGGGTTTTGGGGTTTTGGGGTTTTGGGG